TGCTTAGCCACTTAGCTCACAGATATATAAACCCTGCTAAATTCCCTAAGTGCAATTAAGCAACAGATACCCCTCTTTTCTTTAATATTGTAAACACATCTTGAGATTCTTTAGAAACAGAAATCTAAGAATAGCCCTTCTTGTTATTACTTTAATAAATGGCTTTTGACTATAAACTGTATTGATATTCCTCCTCTAGAGTAATTCCTACAGGCAAGGTTTATCTCCTTTTAGTGAAATAAAGTAAAGTTATTAGTATTGCATTATCTTTTTCGAACTGCCTCAGAGAAGGGTATAGTTTCTTAACAACATCTAACAGAAGCTATACTTCTCTCTTGGATACTGCATATACTCATAAAGGATTCTTTGTGCTGTGTTATCATTGTAGTGTAAAATTAAAAAGGCTTTCACCTATAACAGTATGTTAAATTCTTACTATTATTATTATATGTTTATTTTAATTAGCTTATATTTGAAATTTAAAGTAGGATTTAATAACTTGATCTAAGAACCAAAATTAACATTGTTTAGTCTATTTGAAGTCAGGATAATTTAGAGTTAGAATAAAAAATAACTTGATTTATAGATTTTTCATATTTTTCAAATTTTATATTAGTTATTTTTTACTAATTAATATAAATATGTTTTATTTTACAGATTTTTATATTATTCACAAGTGGTCTAGTTGCATTAAATATTTTATTTTACCTAAAACTCTAAAATTTTAATCTGAAATTTAAGCATAAAGAAATAACTTTTTTTATATAATTTGAATGTAAATAGACTATTTATATCATTTTTTTTTAAAAAAATAGCAATAATAATAATAAATTTGATTTGATTGTTTTATTGTAGGTGCATGTACAAAGATACTTGAACTTGATAGTAAAAAGTATTTTGATGCAAAAGTAACTACAGCTAATTTTCAGACTAAAAAGATTTCAATTGCTAATATAAGATCTGAACTTTTTATTGAGATCCAAAAATTTCTATTTTTTATTCAAAACCTTATTGTGGAGAAAGTGTATGCAGTTTCAAAAAGGTTGCAAGAAAGAAAGAAGATGCTAATTTTAAAAAAGCCAAATGTTCTTGCAAATTTTTTATCTACTATATGTTACTCTGCAGTTATATTTTTTATGAACAACTTTGTGGCAGTTTTAGTATTTTGACATCAAAAGTATGGAGCTGCTTTCAGCAAACCTTTAGTAAAAGTGGACTGAAAGTATATCAGTTACATATGTTAGTAGAAGTACCACCAATTCAACAGTTGGATGTTGAAAAAAATGCAGAAAAAAGTCAGTGAATTATGAATGAACTATTTAAAAAAACTAAAGACCAATATTATCAGTTAGTTGAGAAAAACATAGATGAAGTAATAAAATTCATTGAAGATTTGGGAAGAGTATTAGAACAAAAATTAGAACAAAATAAAAGAATAATTTTTTGTCTAGTAATAGTAAGTTATATTAAATAATTATAATAAAAAAAAAATAAAAAAAAATTTATACTAATAATTTTTAGTTTTTTATAATTTTAAAATTTTACTTTTTAGTAATTTAATATATAATTAAAAAAATAGAGAAGTAATGAATTTTATTAATGATAATAAAATGTATATATTATTTGATAAATAAATTACATATTTACTAGTAATTATATAAATAAAAAAAAATAAAAATATAATATTTAATAAAAAATTTTAATTGCAATAAAATATGTAAAAATAAATTAAAGATGTAATCCATTATCTGTTTTTCTATTTAAAATTTAATGAATATTCAGATATTTGGATTTTTTATAATAAATTTGTTATAAAATTAAACTAGCAGATATTCAGATCACATCTCTAAAATAATTATATATGTATTTAAGTAAAAGAATAGAAAAATAGTATTTAATAGAATGCCTATAAACCTATATAATCTAACATATAAGTAAAAGAATAAATAAGTATTATTTAATGAAAATTCTATTGAGATAAAATATGTATAATAAACTATATACCTACTAATGATTTAATGCTTATGAAAAAACAAAGAAGTAACATTTAATAGAGTCTTATGCTGATAAAAATGCATGCATTATGCTATGAATAAACTATATATTTACAAACTGGATAGCATATAAGTAATATTTAATAGAGTTCTATAATGACAAAACATGTATATTATTTTGTGAATAAACTATATATCTACAAACTGAATAATATGTAAGAGCAAAAAAAAATTTAATAAAGAATTCTTTGATAATTATAATTACTATCTTATTAAAAAAAATAAGTTTTTATCATAGCAAAAGATTCTAAAAACTTAACATTTCATTTAAAAAAAGTTCATTTAATTTATAACATTATTTTGCAATATTACAGTATTTAATAGTTTTAGGTTTAAATAGTTTCATAAAGGTCATATCCTTTAGCAGTTAAATGTTAGCATTATAACAGTATTATAGTATTAATTAACTGGTCATATGCTAAAGATTTGATTGGTCAATGATCACAAAAGTCAATTGATATACATGACCCTGAACTGTCAGCTTGATTGATCTGTCAGACTTTAAAGATAGAGTATATGTAGATCATTTTTTATATGATTTTTGTAGTACAATATAATTTTTATAAAAAATAAAGCTTTGCTACTAATAAAACTTT